TTAACACTTTATAATAACTACACGCTAATAATCATTAGTTAAGCATGAGTAAACCATTACTTCATCATTCATAAAGCATTAGACATTAATAAGCAGTTCATAAATACAGCTATAAATGCTTTCTTCTTGATTTAAAAGCATATCTATAATTTGTAATAATTGTATTTTCATCCTTTATTAATGATCAATTTATCATTTCTAAATGAAGAATTGCATTTTTTATAAACCAGTTATTTAAGAGTTGTCCGTGGTTCATACGATTACTTAGAGCGAGTAAGTAAATGATTAATAAACTATTTAAATGTACATTCATACATCTTATTATTCAGACATATAGTGAGGGTTACTTAATGTGTTAATAAATGCTTTATTAACATGTATTAATGCTGTAATTAAGGATTAATTTGGGTAGTTATAAAGCATTTAGTAGTGGTCAGTTAACTATTTTTGTGACCTAATCTAAAGTGAGGACTAGTCATGCCTTGTAAAGCATTTTTAAAGGCTGTTAAATATTTCTATGTTCTGTATCACTGTGTTGTGTTTGTTACATTTTACTGTTTAGAAGATTGACGAGTCTTTAAATCCCCTTTATAAATGCTTTACAAAGCATGAATAGTCCTCACTTTAGATTAGCTCACAAAAATAGTTAACTGACCACTACTAAATTCTTTATAACTACCTGTATTTACTACATTTACTTACACTTTCTAAGTGGTCTTATGAATGAATGACAACTCTTAAACAACTGGTTTGCAAATAATGTTATACTTCATTTAGAAATTATTAATTGATCATTAACAAAGTATGAAAATAGAATCATTAAACACATTATAGATATGCTTATAAATCAAGAAAAAAGCATGTATAGCTATATTTATAAACTGCATATTAATGTCTATTAATGTTTTATAAATTATGTATTAACTGTTTACTCATGCTTAACTAATGATTAATAGCGTGCAGTTATTATAAAGTGTTACCAAAAGCGCTATATAAATTAAAGTGACTTGACTATACTGTAACATAACAAAATCAATCAATTAGCATGTTTTATATATAAAACAACAAAACATTATTTTTATTACAACAGTATTTTGCATTGTTATGTACAAGTCATGACTGACAAACAACAACCATAGTTGTTTATGATATAAAAAATAGACAGATGAAATATATAACAGCCTGCAATCCTTTTGCTTGTCGAGACATATAACTCCCGCACATAAAAGTTTTTCGTCAGACATTGTGACGGAGGACAGCATGTGTTATTAAGCTTAACAGCGAGGAATTACAGCTGTCACCTGCCATATTCCATCTACAATGTTGAAACATTCTAGAAGTAATGACCATGTCCTTTTCCCAGAGCTGACACACAGAGTGGAGATGTGTCTATTGTTTCTGTAACCTAACTTCTTGTATATTTTTCCTCGCTTGGACATGTCAGGCCAAGCATCGCGGCGTTTAGCATGTGCCTGTGTAATCCTCTGGTATGTGTATATTTGAAATAGCTTGGACCTCAGATGACTTGATAAGAACACACCCTTGAACATTTGAAAGTCCTCTGTTGGAAGCTCAGCTAGTGTGAAGAGAAGGGACAGTGAAGACAGAAGCCACAGGCTGCAGATTTTCTGTAATTATCGGTTAGTGCTCTAATCAGCTTGAGGGTTGAAATTTGCTTTCCTTAGCCTGTAACACTCATTATCTCTTCCTATCTTCCACTTGACCTGTCAAAAATTACAGGGTGGCCTTCAAGTTTTCTATGTTTTTTATGACTATAAGAATTTCATTCCAATAGTGTTTAGCGGTCCATAACGCTTTCATCGCCTCATTTTGGATAAGAATAAAATGTAGGTCATGCATAGAATATCCATGAAAACCTCTCTG